CTTCTGAGCCTGGTCCTTTCCTTCAGGGCCGCCTCCCTCCAGCCTTGGCGTGGACTACAGGAGCACCGTGCGGCGGTCTCAGCCCGAGCAGGGGCAGCCCCTTCCCTGCCACGCCCCTGCAAGTGTTCTTCGTACAGTTCAGATCTCACAGCAGGGACTGCTAACGCCCCCATTCAGGTTGACATGTCCCCCTCGTCCACTTCCTTCCACACAGGCAGAATCCAGGAAATGTAGTCCACGCAGGTGTGGGGTGGGGGGCTCCCACAGATGCTCTTCTGCCTTCCTAGCCAGGTGATGGGATTCACAGGGCCTGAGTCAGAGAGGGCAAAGCTGGGAAGCAGGTGCTGAAGCCAGAGGAGCCGGCAGAGGTCAGGGGCACAGCCTGCCTCTCCCCTAATTAATCACCCTTGCCTCCCCCACCCAGCCGATCGGAACATCATGCAGCTACATCAAGGGAAAGCGGGGGTACATGGCCCTGGGCTCTGAACGGGAGGTTGCTATGGCTGCCACCTCCTCCTCTCTGGAGAATGATCTGCACAGGTAAGCTGTCATCACTGGCCACAGGCACTTCCCCTGTCCCAAGACCCTCTTCCAACCCTCCTTTGTGGGTAAGCCTCATGAGGCAGCCACTTCTTGACAATGGCCTCTCACTCATCCCCATCTTTCTTGGCAGCCCCTGCATGGGACAGAAGTGACCCCTCTCAGGTGAGAGCAGCCTCCCTGGGGGAAAACAGGGCCTCGAGACCAGCAGGTGCCTCTGCCTTGCCAGGATCAGCAGACAACCAGAACTCCATCATGAAGTGTGACATCAACATGCGCCAAGGTCCTGTCTGGGGCTCAGCCATATGCCGGGGCACTGCAGACTGGATGGAGGGGACCACTGCGCTGACCCCTAGCACCATGAAGATCAAGGTGGGGAGGAGGAGGGGGACCTCCCATTCGTTGGGGGAGTATGGGGGCATAAGGTGCTTCCTCAGGAAGCAGAAACCCAGCCTCTCCAGCTTCTGTGGGGGAGGCAGCTGGGAGCTGGAGGGGCTGCGGGGCGGGCAGAAAGCGGAGTGCCTTGGCTTGCTGCTGCGGTACTGAGCTCTCTGAGCCGCAGGTCACCTAACGGTCGAATGGGTAACACCGCCTACCTTGGGTTCAAATCTTGGCTCTGCCACTGACCACGAACAAGTGACTTTACACTCTGGGACTCTCAGTTGACCTTTAAATTGAGAACAGGACCACTGGGATGGAAGGATTAATGCCGGCAAGTATCCCACTGTGCCCAGCACACAGGAGCACTGAGTGTGAGTCATCACTTGCATGGCAGGGGCTCATCAAATAGTAACAGGTCAGCTTTGGGCTGCCAAGGCTCCACCCCCAGCACCTCCCCATCTGCCCAGACCCCCCCCCCTCAGGCAGTGCAGAAGTACTGGAAAGGACTAACCCTGCCCTGTGTGAGCAGATCACCTTCAAAGCCTGGCAGTCGAAACCATCTGGAGCCCAGGCTTCTTCCACTGGGGAAACCAGCTCAGGCTCTGACCACTCATCCAGCAACTGCACCCCTTGCTCCACCTGCTTGCTGAAGGTGCGGCATCTCCGGAAGTGCCCCTGGAGCAAAGAAACTTGAGCTGCAGCTGTAGGGAGGGGTGGAGGCAGCCACAAAGGCAGCCATTGTGGAGGACCAGAGGGGCCCTGGACACTTAGGAAGGTGGAGGGCGCAGATGGTGAAGGAAGGTCCCACCCTTTCCAACTTTGGCCTTTTTCACTTGTGGCAAGGGGATGGTCACTCCAAGGAATTCCTGCCTGTGATTAAAACAGCTTTCAAGGAACAAGAACTTTTGTCACATGAGAAATCTACTGTATAATTAGCCAGTGAAATGCTCTCTCACCTTCCCAAGGACGGCGATGCCCTTCTTTGTGCCTCGCAGATAAGACAGCTGCACAAACCATGCCTGGGTGTGCCCCTGCCCACATGGCTGAGGCCACAACAGGCTGCCACCCTGCTCCTCTTTCCCCAGGTAACTGGCCCTCCAGAGCACAAACAGCCATGTGGCTTGGGAGTTCCATCCTAGCTGCCCTCTTCACCTTCCAGATGTGATCGCCACGCAGGGGCGTGACCGACCAGCCCCTCAGTGTCCACAGGAAGTGCTTCTGAGCCCTACCTCCCAGCCCACTTCCTGCTTCTCCCCCAGCTCACCCTGGGCCAGGGCTGGCAGCAGTGCCCCTGGGAGAGAAGCTGCATGGCTCCATCTGTCACACTTGAGGGGCTGGACAGAACCCCCCAGCTCATAACTTCTCTGCCCTGTCAGGCCTTACCAGAGTTAGCCTTCCTTTGAGCCTCCGCCTTTTGTGAGTGGAGGGAAGAGGGGGTGGAATCTTTTTAAGACACAAAGAATATTCTGAGTAACCTGATGAAGTAAAAGGAAGGGAAGAAACAGCGACACTCATCAATTCAACTCCCACACAGTGCACTGGAATTTGTTTCAGCCGCAGATGTCAGGGGTCACAATGCCTGGCTTGGGACTCTCTCTCCAGGATACAAAGCAGGCACCCCTCAGACCTTTGACCTCTACCCAGGGCTTCTGGGAAGTGGCAAAACACATGCATTTGGTCTCAGTTTCCACCTCTGGCTGCTTGCCCAGACACCCCGAGGTTTGTCAGGCGTGAAGCTTCTTTCACAGGAAGGGAGGCAGGGCCATCACAGCTACATGCCTCCCAGGGGGTAGGCCCAATTCTGGGGCAGTCTGAAGATCCCGATGTCCCCCGAGCCCACACTGTCCATGGTACCCCAGCATCAGGCAGTATCCCAGCAGCTGAACAAAGTAGCTTTTATTTGTGACATACAAATACAACCAATGCAAAAAGAGATCACTTTTCCCCTTTGATTCCAGTGATAACAAGTTGCTAAAGAAAAAATATATATCAAGGAGGAGTTTATCTTCAAAGTTTCCTCTAAAAAACCCACAAAGGGTTAAATACCATACACATGTCATATGCACATTTGACATCAACAAAAATAACCTGAAATAGAGTGAACACAACTAAAAGAAAAACCTTAAAAAATATTTTAATGTGCCCCAAACAAACAATAACAAGAGTCTGCTAAAGGCCTGCTACGTGTCTCACGGCCAAGCCCGGGGGGGGGGGGGGGGGGACTGGCGGCTGAGGACTGACGGGCTCACCCCCACGAGTGACCTGCTGGTCTCGGCAGCGCCTCGCCCGCCCCAGCCCCAACCTCCAGGGCAGCCCTTCGGGAAGTGACCAGCAGAGGCTGGGCGAGCAGGGCATGCCACCAAGCGCCCCAGATGGATTCGGTGCCACGTGTCCAATGACTATAGAGACAATATACACTGAACTCACCTTATGTGGGATTTACACTGGGGGTTCCTTTTGGTCCCCTTGAGTGGGAGGTATCAGAAATCCATGATCTAAGACAATAAATAGTTATCATTCTGTGTCCTTTGAGAGACAGGGATCAGAGGAAACACTCCTCCTAAACATGCTTCTGTCATTCCATGATTCTTGGAAGCCCACCAATGTCCTCCCAGAAACTGAAACTCTCTCCCCTCAGGAAACCCCCCTGGGAGCCAGCAGGACAAGGACATGAGTGGGTTTATTCCAGTGTAAAGCTGCAGGGCCCCCTCCAAGGGAGTGACCCGTCTCACAGCTGGCTGGCGGGGTCAAGAGCAATGAGCACTCATGGGGGCTGGGCTGGGTAAAGGAGGCCATGTGCACAGACCCCAGCACCAGCAGGAATCCGAGGGAGAAGCAAGAACAGTTCCGGGGAGATCCATCAGCAAAGATGCCCGAGTCAGGGCAGAGGGTGGGCTGAGAGCAGACTCTGAGGTCAGAAGGACCCACAGCCTCCAGGAGAGCAACTTCACAAAGGCTAGAACTTTAAGACACTCCTTGAAGCAAAGCTCAAGGATGTCTAAGGGGAGGCGTTAGGTGCTTTTTCCTGGATAAGGGTTTGGTCATTTTTTCCCCTGGAGGGGACACAAGGCCTAGAGATTAGGGCAAGTGTGAGCTCCGACCCCACACCCTCTCTACCCCATGAGAGAAGAGGAAGGCCTTCCGCTGCCCTGCTCTAGCCTGCTGCCACAGGGTGATCCCAGAGAGAGGAAAGCAGCTGATGGGGCCACCGAGGCGGGCTGCTGCAGCCTGAGCGCGGCCAGAGCAGTGGCACTAGGGCCTCACTGAGGCGGCGAGGGGCGAGGCTGAGGAGTGCAGGCGGGGCGCCTGCTGCTGGCTGGGGGCTCTCCGAAGAGCGAGGGATGCCCCGCCTGCAGAGAGCTGTCAGCACCAAGACGTGAGAGGAAGCGGCACTGACTATGCCAAGAACGAGAGGTCTTCTGGGGAAGACAAGGGGCTCCCTGATGTTATTCCCCACTTGAGAATAAGAACAGAGGTATCTGGAGTGGGGGCGAGAGGCAGGGGAGAAAGAGTAGTGATGGGCAATGGAGAGGAACAGGCAGGACCTCTGGCTTTTTCCTGTGAATTAAAAACTCGAGCCACTGCCATAAGATCAAGAGGTTAAGCTTAGAATGCAGCTAAGTCCAAAATGCAGCAAAGTCCAAAAACCCACAGAAGCGATGGCGGCCCCACTGGACACCTTCTTCCTGCTCCTCTCAGCCCCTCACTGACAGCGACGGAGGAAGGCAACCTTCGTCCCAGAGTCCGCTGGTCCCCTGGATGGCTCCGCTCTAACTGTACATCATAAGAGCACAGCTGAAAGAGCTCCCTTGCTTCCCTGTGTTGCAGCACAGAAGACCATCCCACTGTCTCCATCAGAACATTCCATCCACGAAACATGAGTCTCTCTGAAGTCACTCTATGTCCAGACCTTACACCAAGTCCATTCCTCTTTGAGGACCAGCTAGACCCTGATCCAGGGCTCCAGGACTTTCATAAAGGTGGGTATAAACACTCCATTTGTCCAGGTGTGTGTGGGGGGAGGGGGGCTGTCAGGCATCCAGCTACAGAGAAGTCAGGGAATCTCACGCTCAAGGGCGCAAGAGTGGAGACAGAAGGCAGCCTCCGTGCAAGGATGACTTCATGCCCAGCCTCCACCAGCTCTTCCCTCAGCATCCTCCTCTCTGCTCCCTCCTGGCACTGCTCTTCTAGGAGAAAGGAGGAGGGGCGGCTCGGACCACTCCTCCCCAGGGTTCTGTGATCTCAGGGTAGAGCCGGGCACATGCAGGGCTGAGGAGGCCACAGCTCTGAAGGCACCTGGCAAGTGGCATGAGACCAGGGGAGAGGGCAGGCCTTGGAGAGAGTGTTCTGGCTTGGGAGTTCAGTGGCAGCAGCCACCACAGTGCCCACCCGCATGGGAATGCTGACTGTCCCCAAACTTGGTCCTTCGGCTCAGGATCTCGTAGGAGCAGTCCTCCCCACAGCAACCAGACATGCTGGGGGAAGAGTCGTCGATGTCAAATCTGCAAGGCAGGCAGGAGGAAAGGGTTGGTTGCAGGTAACTGACTACCTTCCTCCCTGACCCAAGAACTTTTCCACCAGCCACACTCATGAGACGCCGAGGAGTTAAGGGTGCAGGAGGGCAGGAGACCAAGCCAGAGGGCACTACCAGGTCATCCACCAATCCCTAACCCTCACAACCACTGGACTGGGAGCTCAGGTGTCAGGATGAACAGGGGCCAGGACCAGGAATAAAGCAGTGGGGCAGGAAGTCCCACACCAGAGCCCAGATCCTTACTGCAGTGCTTCTCTGAAGAACTGGTAGGCGCCATGATTGTGCTTAAATACTGTTAACATAACCTTCTTCATCTGTGTGCTGAGAAGGAAGCAGAGAGAATGCCTTGCAGAAAGAGACAGATGCTAGGCTGTGCTTCCCACCTCATGCCTCTGCCTGCCCCTCCAAAGCACTTCTGAGCCCCGACTCCAGCCCGTCTGGGGAGCCCACAGCACTTAGGGCTTCTCTCTGTTAGGGGCTGAGGCTGCACTGGCAGTAGCCCCCACCGGACTGACTTCTCCACTCCCTCTCCGCATCCCCTTTGTGCACTGAGGCAAACGTACAAAATCCAGGGTCACAGCAGAACAGGGAATAGCTTGCTGAGGGGGTTCTAAATGCCCTTCTTCCAAAACATTCCTGTAAGCCTTGTCCTCCAGAGGCTCACAGAACAGCGGACACCTCAGAGGCAGCTCCTTCCAGCTGTGTGACACACCGAGTGGCCTTACCTGTTGGCCACGAGCTGCAGAATCTGTATGAGGAACTTCCCCAGGCCTTTCCGCCGCACCTTGCTTTCCAACTGCACCTCGTAGCTGGGTGAGGAAAGTAGACATGAGCATGACGAGACTGCAGGGCCGGTCAGAGGAGCCTGTGGCCCCTGGCAGCCCAGGCACTCAAACAGGACTGTGTCCCCGCGGGAGTGCCCAGAGCAGCACCAGTGTCCCCCCACACCGCACACCAAGCCGGTGCTCCTACCAGTACAAGACTTCATCCCCACACTCCACGTCAAACCGGAAGTGAGAAAAGGCAACAGGGACAGAACTGTTTTCCCAAGCAATGAGGTACCAGGCTCGGTCATCTGTCATTTCCTCCCTTTTTTCTCGGTCCTTCCAGCCCCACTCGCTTTGCTCATACCTGGGAAAGTGGGGGCAGTCAGGATCGGGAACTCGAAGAGGAGAGCCAGCCTGAGGAAGAGACCCCTGTGGTCAGGTGTGCTTACATGGTTTGCATGTTAGTTTTGGTCAGGTCAAAGGCCCAGTCCACGGTGGCTGGCTCCAGTCCAGACACTCGCTTACATTCAATGGAGACGTTTAAGCTGAGAAGAAGAAAAGGAGGCATTTGAAGCCAGCCCTGCCCAGTGCTGCCCGCTGCCCTGAGACCAGACAGTGAGGTGCCTGACCTCAGCTAACCTACACAGAAAAGCCAAGCTGAGCCTTGTTCCCAGACGAGACTGTAGAAGGTGCCTGTGAAGGAACCAAGCCTTTCAGGGCGAGTTCCACAACTGTCATCACAGGCCCACCACCTGACCACAAGTCCCATTTCTTGCCTCCCCTGCATGGCCCTTATCAGACTCGGCTCCTTATAAACTTCTGTCCCTCTGCTACCTCTTTGCTCTGCGCCCTCTCTTCTGTACTTGGTTAAAACATGGAAGTCTTCTCTGTTCCCTTAGTTCCTGCCCTTAGGCATTTTTCCAGTTGCTTTAATTCTGAACTGGACTCCTCACTGGGCTCCCAGGGGACCTCTTTCTTCTTATCTACCACTCTCCTCTGAAAGCATCTGGGTGACCTCAGGCCCTCCAAGAAGACTGGCCCACAACCCTCCGAGGAGTGCTGCCTGCCCCCCCGCGCGCTCTCAGCTGACCAAACAGTAGAACAGGCCCAACCCCACACCGTTTTCCTACACTAACAAACGCTGTAGGCATTAGGTATCACAACCTGCTATTTACTTCTAAATGAAACATAAGTAAATCACAGTTCAATGCCTTGGCCAAAATGCGAGCTCACATTCTCTAGTTAGTGCCACATTCTGAAGGGACTGAGGTCAGCAACTCCAACTCCTTATGGAGCTCCCACACCCACCCCGTACCTTTCAGTGACCTTTGACCTGACCCCTCAGAGGATGTTCCCACCCTCACCTTTGCTGACTGGCACACCATGTGAGTTGCACGTGTGCTCAGCCTTGTAAATCTGGAACTTCCTGGCTCTGAAAGTTCTTCCTTTCTTGGTAAATAGTGACCACGTGGTAGTCAGAAATGCCCAAACACAGCACTACATCCGTCTTAGCTTGTATTTTCCCAAGGGTGGTCTGCATGTACAAATGCTCCGCTAATCTGAGTTAAGTTCATGAACGCAGGATCACAGCCACACACACACAATGCCAGGCACCGAAGGCGCCCAGAGTCGCTGGCAACGACTGCCTCAGAGCTGCTCCATATTTCTGGAGGTCGGTGGGAATGCAGACTATGGAGCACTGAGAGCTATCACAGTAAGGGATCTCTGAGCTATGTCAAACGCCTCCCTAGGAGCTGAATAACAAAGCTACCAGAGGAAATGTTCTGCATCTGATCATAAACAGAAAGAATGAATAAATTAATGTGATGTTATGAAATTCAGACATAGCTATGAAAAGCAAATACAGTGCTGCCTACTAGTCTTTGTTTCATGATTCATATATTTACATTTGTCTATCTTGTTCATTAAAATACTTATACCAGCCCTGGCCGGTTTGCTCAGTGGTTAGAGCATCAGTCCACGGACCAAAGGGTCAAGGGTTTAATTCCTGGTCAAGGGCATGTACCTGGGTTACAGGTTCGATCCCTGGCCCTGGTCGGGGTTGTGCGGGAGGCAGCAGGTCAATGCATCTCTCTCACTTCGACGTTTCTTTGTTTCTCCCTCCCTCCCTTTCCTCTACTCTTAAAAAACCAATGGAGTATGGTCGGTGTGGCTCAGTGGTTGAACGTCGACCCATGCACCAAGAGATCATTGGTTTAATTCCTGGTCAGGACACATGCCCAGGTTGCGGGCCTGATCCCTGGTGGGGGGCATACAGGAGGCGGCCAATTGATGTTCTCTCTCACTGATGTTTCGATCTCTCTCTCCCTCTCACTTCCTCTCTAAAATCAATAAAGGAAAAAAAAAATCAATGGAAAAATATCCTCACATGAGGATTAAGAAAAAAGAATAATGATCAAAGTAAAAAATAAATGAATAAAAATAAAATAGAGTGCTCATACCAGCAGCTATTGACAAGCTGGATTTGTTTCCTTTCCTCCTCAAACCAACCTTGCAAGTCTGGCATCTTCACTCCATTTAACAGATTAAAAAATGAGCACAGTTATGAGTCAAACCCATGGCTGTGATTCTCTAAAATCATAAGCCCCGTTTTCCCCTCAGCCAACACATCTCTGGTAAAACAAAGTACGCTTCCTATTTTATAAACCAAGAGGACAAAAGGGCTTTAATCCAGAACCTAGAGTAAATTGGATTAGTCATAACAGTAGTAACAGCTAACACTGATCTAGCTTTTAATATGCTCCAGGCACTAATGTTTTACATCTAATCTCCTGATGACTCCATTAGGAAGATATATTATTACACCCATTTCTAATGAGAAAATTGAGGTACAGAGTGGTTAAGTAATTTGTCCAGGGTCACAAAGCCAGTAAGTGGCTTTTAATATTACACTATACACTCAGGAAAGAGCACTGGATTGGAATTAAAAGCCCTCCCTGACTGGTGTGGCTCAGTTGGCTGGGTGTCGCCCCATGCAACGAAAGGTCACCGGTTTGATTCCCAGTCAGGGCACATGCCCCAGTTGTGAGCTCAAGTCCCCGGCAGGGGGCATGCAGGCGGTAGCTGATCAGTGTTTCACTCTCACATTGATGTTTCTCTCTCCCTCTCTCTCTCTCTCTCTCTCTCTCTCTTTCTCTCTCCCTTCCTCTATCTAAAAAAAAAAAAAAAAAATCAATAAAAAAATATTTAAAAAGAAAAAACAGCCCCCTCGGCTGCTAGAGAGAAACACTGTAAGCTCAGAAATCTCATTCAACTTCGCTGGGCCTCAATTTCCCCTGTATAAAACAAGTCAGCCCACATGAGTTTTCAAGTTTCAGCTCTATGATTCTTTATCCAGAGAGAATAACAAATCCTAGAGACATCAGTCTGAGACTATGCAATCTTTGCTCATTTATGGATTTCTTTGTCACCCTAACTGGGGTTTATATCAATGGAGCACTAACCACCTTTTCTACTTTTTCCTACCAAAGAAAAACAAAAAAAAAGAGAGAAAATTTGAGTCTGAGGAAGCCTACTCTGTAAAGGTGAATTCCTGAAGACACTCAGAGACAAAAGTTAGGAATGCTGAACACTCACCCATTTCGATCATATTTCTTGAACACCGGGAAAGCCTCTAAAGGGTCTCCAAGCTGTGGAGGGAAAGAAAAGAGAAGTAGTACAAACACATGTGTGGCAGAGTCGTATGCTCTGCCCTAAAGTCCAATGCTGGCCAGACCCACATTGAGAAGCTTAATTCCTGGGCCCAGGGGCGCCCTTCACATGGACTGCCCACCTGCCTCAGCTCGGAAATCACATGTAACAGGGAGGCTTTGATAAGGAGGCCAAAGAGAGTTAAGTTAGGTCATCTGACAGGACAGGAAGAGACTCCACTAGCCTAAGACTAATACTGGCCTATGGACATACAATCCCCTCCCTGCTCACCTGCCCGAAGAAGAAGAGTGGCCATTTGATCCACCTGTGTACTTCTAAGACGCCCCCAACTAATCTCACCTGGTCAAAACCCAAAATGGAAAGTCACATCCCCGAGTACATCCTTATAAATATGGACTGTTTACTGACTGGGCTAAAAGAACAACAAAAAATGGGATATGAAGAGGGTGAGAAGGATGACCAGAACTTCTCTGGTTCAGTTTGAAATCCGGGCCCATCTGGCGCTCAGGTTCACGGCTACTCCTCCCCCGACTGCAGCCCCTTGAAACCAGGTGGCTGCACATTCCTGGTCCCAGAACAGCTTCTGGTACTTCACGGGCAGTCAAAAAATACTTGAAGGAACGAATAAGAAAATTATACCACATTTTATGAGGGACGTTTCTTCTCCAAAATGCAAAATCCTAACAACAATTTCTCCAGATCCTCTTCTACTGGTAAGAAGACCCACAGAGAGGAGCAGCCACTTCCATCTGAATCCACATTTCCCTGCACATGTGGGCCAATTGCTGGCCCACCTGGAAACTCTCCCAGGCTCATTTGGGCTCATTTTCCCCAGGCAAGGGGGCAGCAAAGGTGTGGGTAGGTAGTAACACAATTCTGCCACACGGTGGCGCCAAAAGAAGTAAAATTAAAAACCAAGTAGAAGTTGCAGGAGGAAGGGACTGGGAAGGAGGGGAGAGTTACCCTGTTGGCTGCATCCACTTTGGCACAGACCGCATCCATGGCTGCTCGCTCCTCCAACCGCTTCTGCTTCTTCTCCTTTGCTTTGCTTGACTTCCTCTGCAACAGAGAAAGGCAAAGTTGGCTTGAAGGGCTGTGGCCAACCAAAGGCTTGACTTTCCCTTTGAGAAACAAAAAGGTCTGTCCCTTTGTCCACAGACCTGGCCTTAGCAGCTGGAACTTCCTTCCAATCCTGGCTGCCACATATTTGCTGCAGTGGGGAAGACCCAAGCATGTTCTGGTCTTGAGACCTTGGGAGCGTCACTAGACTTCTCAGCTTCCTTGTCAGGAAGAGTACAAACCCTTGGGGCCATTGGGTCGCTGTGAGGACCCAGTGATAGCATGAGACAACAGTTGCAGCAGAGCCTGCCCCCCCGCAGATGCCTAAGAAAAATTCACTCACCCATTCCCTCCTAAGAAGAGAGCACTAATTTTAGACACATTCAGGGCATGTTTCAGGGAGAAGATGGCATCTGAGGTAGCTGTGCACAGTGATTCCTAAGTATAAGTTTATTCAAAGCCTTTTCAGTGTCTTCCCGCTTCAGGAGACAAAGCTCTGGCCTGGGGCAGCCCCTTTGGGAGCTGGGCCCCTTTCTCAGCTAGGGCCAAGGCACTCTGGCTTAAGGAGACAGAGCCATTCCCCAGAAATGCTGCTCAATCAAGGCCAATAAGTGGCAGGCACACGGGGCACCTAGTAGTGACAGGGCAGCATGAAGGCCCTCAAGGGGTTCACCAAGGGACAGAGGCCATGCTGACATGTGATCAACAAGGCCAAACTGCAGCCACATAGGCAGCAGAGAGGAGCAAAGGAAGGCTGTCCTTGCAGAGTGGCAAATGGCAAACTGCACACAACTACATCTAAAGCAGATCCTATTCTGAGGCTCATGTGGGGTTCTCGCAGGCCTAAATGGACCCTCTCGTCCTCCTGTAAAAAGCTGGTAACACAGGGAAAGAGCCCAGCTCTCACAGATCTCATCCAAAGCCTCTTTCTGCTCTTCAGTCTGTGGTCTTCGAACAAAACACAGTCTCCTTTCTTCATCTAATGAGTAGGGCCCTTAATACATACCTGAAGGTGTTAGGCTCGTGAGGGTTAACATAGCAAGTGCTCAATAAATGATAGTTCTCGTTCCCACACCCAAGAAGCAGAGCAGCACACACACCTGGAGGTGCTTGCCCACCCAGCTGAGTCCAGAGGCACCCTAAAGTCACTAGTAAGATGGCTCTGAGCTCACCAGAGGTTCTACTACCTCCAATCACAACTTCATGAACACTGATTGGCCCCAGGAAAGGATGAGTTGAAAAAACAGCTGCTGGGAAAGTTTCTTAGGATAAATTCTAACTTCGGTTCCCTCAGAAATAACACTGCTCAACTCCTACTTCAAGCTACCAGGAGGCAAGAGTTCAGACACCAGGAACTCACAGGGATTGTTTTTCTAGGTATAAACTCATCCGACACCAGCTATTTGCTACTGGCAGGCTGAGCACCATGCTGGAAGCCAGGATAGATCCCAGTCTCACCTCTTTAGAGAAAGGAACAAGCAAAAGAGAACAAACTGTCTTCATAATGCTGGGATCTGGACACAGAACTAATCCCTCTCTACCACATACAGGTTTTAGAGCATCCATCTTTCTCTTTAGGAATCTGGGTTCCAGGCAACACTGAGATACATTCAGCTTGCAAAGTGCTTTCACAAACATTATCTGGTTCTATCCCCAGAGCAGAAAACAGGATCTCCCTTACACATGAGGAAACTGAGTCTCAAAGGAATGGTGTGACTCGTTCCAAGTTCCCCAGAGAGTAAATGTCAGAGGGGAGACTCAATCCCAGGAGCTGGGCTGCAGATTCAGGGTTTGTTCCACCAGCCATGCTATCTCCCACTGGGAGAGCCTACGTCACTGTCAAAGACCTTCTCAGCCCGGCCAAGGTTAAGGTTAAGATGAAACCTCAAGAGCCCTCAAGGCAGCTATTCAGCAATTCATTTTTCATTACCCTTCTGGCTTGGTAATGGCTGGTATGACATGCCAACACAGTGCCACCCCAAGCCCCATCTCCAAGGGGCAAGGAACAGGGAAACCTGAGACAGGTCCCAGGGCTGTGCGATGGGGCAAAAAGAACATGAGCTCAATCAGGCCAGGCCAATGTTCCTCCCGCCACCCCCTGCATGACTTGTGAAAGAACTCCATCTCCAGAAAAATGGGAATGCAGTATTGGCTTCACAAAACAGTTGTAAGGATAGGTCAGAAGACAGTACACCTTCGCACAGAAGCAGGCTCCCTTCCTCCACCCAGCACACTAGCTCCCTCTTAACATGATACAGAGCTGAAGGATCAAAGGCGCAGGAAGGAAAGCGTGACTCGGGGACTCAGGGAGCACTGAGACATGGGTTTCCTCCATAGGATCTCATTTTTAAGCATATGAGGTAATTCCTAAGCACGAGCAGCAGGAGGGCCAACCTCAGGCCTGCAGGAGATTTCAGGCTCATTCATGAAGGGGAACAGGTGAGCCAGGCAATCCTTGGCGTGAGGCTTGGAACTGCCATGACCCCAGACTGCAGATAATGAAAGAGCCCCTTAAGCGCTCTGCTGCCTGGACACGGGGTATGAGGCAGGCTGCAGCAGGCTGGGCCAGACAGGCTGGGGTTCCTCCCCAAACCTAGCACACACTAAGGAAAGTGGTCTCCTACTGTTCCAATTAGCTTTGCCCTACGTTGTGGAGGTAAGACTATCCTGCAAGGGCACAGAAACATTCTCCTAATTAAAATAGGAAATAAGCACAGTGAACAGTAAAGCTCATTGTGGTTGAGTGTCTTTCCCAAGGGAGCTCTATATAATAAAGAGTGTGGGCATTTGAGTCAAGAGACCTGGATTTGATTCTCAGCTTTTCTACTTAGTAGCTGTGTGACTTTGGACAAGTTATTTAATCTCTTTTCAGCAAGTTACTCAGTTTCTCTGAGCCTCAATTTCTTCATCTATAAAATGGTGCTAACAAGGACCCACTAGTGTCGGACACTCTGCTAATGCTTTAATAAAGACGATTTATTTTAATCTTCACAATAACTCAGCAAGGTATGTGTGCCCACTTCTTTCATGAGAAAACAGGCATAGAGAGGTAAGATAACTTTCGGGGTCAGAGAGTTCTCAAAGGGGTTTTCCTATTATACCTCCTTCCACTCCCACCAGACCGTACACTCCATGAGGTAGTGGTCACATCTGCTTCATTTGCTCAGCGCTCAGAAAACAGAATCATCCAAGACTGAACTCCAGGTCTGAACCCTAGAGTCCATGCTCCTCCACTACTACATCAATTACATGTATATAACACTTACAAAGTATGACATAAATGTTTTCACATGCAGCTGTGAAACTCCTCTCCTTGCTATTTCTACTAAAGTAGTATCTCCATATCCAGTTCTGACATGAAGAAATTTAAAGAAATAAAAAACACCCAGATGGCCCTAGCTGGTTTAGCTCAGTGGTTAGAGCGTTGGCCTGTGGTCCAGAAAGACCTGGGTTTGGTTCCTGCTAAGGGCGCGAACCTCGGTTGCAGTTTGTCCCTGGCCCTGGTTGGGTCGTGCGGGTGGCAGCCACTCGATGGGTCCCTTTCACGTCAATGTTTCTCTCTCTCTTCCTCTCTCTCCCTCCCACTCTATCTGAACAAAAAATGGAAAAATGTCCTTGGGTGAGAATAAAACAAACAAACAAAAAAAACCCCACCCAGATGGAGGCAGGAAGTACCTTTCAGAAAAGAAATTTGGCATCTCCAAGATATTCAGTGTTAATGTCCCCAACCCACAAAGTATCCAAGATCTGAAAAGACCCAAAACAGAGGGTCTTTTCAGATCTTGGATGCTTTGTGGGAGACATCTAAATTCTAACTGAGACAATACATGTGTGGCAGCAAGGGCCTAAAGAACATGGAGAATGGTGCTCCGTCTGATGCCGCTCCCTCAGCTTGAGGTCAGGCTGGCAAATGGAGCTGGAAACTGACCACTATGATGATCATCCACCCATGAAGAATGAGGATAATGACAGGGGTCCAGGTCTGTTTCAGAGAGGAAAATCTAAATCTGTTTTTTTTGCAGTGAGTTTTAGGTCAGAAGAGACTAGGTAGGGGCCATTCTGAAAAACACGTCTGTAAAGTATGACTAATAAGATTGGGGCCCTAAAGGAAGCAAGGGTCACAGTATCTCTGAGGCCTGCTAATTCAACTCAGCCAACGAGGAAGTACTGAACCAGAATGGCATGTTATGCTTCTTGTTTTCTGCTCAGTCTATAGTGGCTGATGCTGGGTAGATACTTACGAGTGATACTGGGCACACAGGTTTTATTTAGTTTCAACAAGAGCTGAGTTTGGGACCTTTCACCCAAGTCTAGGTTAAATAACTCAAAAGTCTCTAGACTTGACTTTCTACATATGAAATGCAGTGTCCTAAATTCCTTGTTGAAACATGACGAATGTGTTTTGACATGGATTACATAAAGTGCTTTGACATGGATTAGACAACTATTTCTGTCTAACAAATTGATTTGTTCAGTCAATAACTATTTGAATGAGAAAAAAAAAAAAAAACTAGGTTAATAACAGTAGGGACAGACCCAATGGGTTAAAAGTAAAAATAGCACAAATCTATTTTAGATAACTGAAGTAAAGTCTGAGAATACAGACAAAAATATCAGCCACTATTTACATCCACTATCTCACTTAATCCTTACATCTATCCTAAGGGGACGGTACCATCATCTTCGTCACATAAATGAGGAAATTCAAATTCACAAAGGACATGTCACTGCCAGCCAGTGAACGGGGCTGAACTGAGGCAGCTCTGGCTCCAAAGTCCCCACTCCCTAAACATGGGGGAAATTCCATGTAAAAATTAATAATATACCCAGGAAGGGCCAGTTACATTTCCAGGAGAGTGACTGATGCTACTTACTCCACTTGGGACTTAGGAAGATGAACTCACAGAAACATGTGCATAACTTCTGCCAACCCTCGGTCAGCACGCGCCAGAGAAGGGCATCAAGTACACCTGCAGGCGGCCTTGCACGGAGCAGGTGCCACCCGGCGAGGGCCATCACCGGCCCCTGCTCACCGGCCCCTGCTCCCCCCCTGCTCAGCCACCTGCAGTACGAAGACTGCCAACAACTCAGGTCATGAGAAGCACCACCTCACTGCATCTAGGAGGCCGTGAAGACGGCCTCTGCTGGGAAGGAAGAGGCTGTTGTAGAGGCAGGAGGAACCTGGTGGAGAGGTTTCGAAAGGGAGTAGGGGAACCGGCTTTACTGCAAATCCGTGTAACGGGAAGCGCAGCGGCAGGGCACTGGGGACACCGGAGTTGGGGTCTGGCCCCCAGTCACTGTCTGTGTGACCTTGGCTGGGTGCCTTCTTTTCTCTGGGCCTCGGCTACCTCCAGGCCAGGGCTGACTTAAGATGTGGGAAGCCTCAAAGCCAATGACAACCAGGTGACAGTGACCTCTGGGGACGGGGGGTTACCCCAAGATCTGCGCGGGGGGAGGGGGAGGCCAAGAAGATAACAGGTCAGCTAGGAAGACGGGGCGGACGCGAAGGGCGGGGGCACCCGAGGGGGTGGGGACCGGAGAAGGGGGCTCCCCAGGCGGTTCCCGGGCTGGGCTGGGCACCGGGACACTTAGAATGGGGGCGTCGGGTGACCTGGGGGCTGGGGTCACGTGAGGCCGGAGGGGGTCGGGGTCACGTGAGGGGGGGTTCAGGAACAATGGGGGCACAGGGAGCGAGTAGAGCGGGGCGCGCTCCGGGCCCTCGCGTTTCCTCTCTGCCTCACTCACCCCCATGGCGGCAACGGTGGCGGCGGCCCTCAGCTCCTCCTTCCCACACTTGCCGGCAGGGAGGCGGCAACAGCAGCTACGGTGGCAGCGGCGACAGTAGAGCGACGGTGGATCCAACAGCGCGCATGCGCCTCACGGACTCCCCCGCGCGCTCTGGTGGACATTGCGCCTGCGCACAGCGGGGGAGCGGGGAAGCTGGGGGAGGCGTGCAGGTGGAGAGCTGAAGAGGCGGGCCGAGGGTCTCGCAGCCGAAAGAGGCGGGAGTCTCAGAGCAGCGTCGCGCTGAGAATGACGTAGCCCCGGGCCCGCCCCCTCCTCGCCAGGCTGCATCTGTAGCTATGGCAACGGCTGCGCCGCGCTGAGAGTAGCGCTCTGGGCAGTCGGGTGGGTGAGCTCGCAACCCTGGCGCTCAGCATCTCTGGGGCCCCGCCCGCCCGGAGCAGCCACCTTCAAAGACACCCAAAACATCACGACCTCTGAAGTACCAGCCCCTCCGGCAACCCTGGGGCACAGGGGAAATCTCTTTTTAAATTTTCTTTTTCTTTATTGATTTTAGAGAGAGAAGAAGGGAGAGGGAGAGAGGGACAGAAACATCGATGAGAGAGAACATCGGTTGGCCGCCTTCTGCCTGCCCTCCACTGGGGACCGGGCCCACAATTGGGCATGTGCCCTGACCAGGAATCCAACCGGTGACCTCTTGGTGCATGGGTTGATGCTCAAGCGCTGAGCCACACCGTCAGGGCACAGGGGAAGACTTTTTTATAACTGATTTTAGAGGAAGGAAGGGAGAGAGAGAAACATCAATGTAAGAGAAACAGGGATGGGTTGCCTCCCGCATGCACCCGATCAGGGATTGAACCTGCAACCTCACAACCTTTTGGTGTTTGGGTGACGCTCTAACTGGCCAAGGCACAGGGAAAGTCTTTGGAAACTCCACCTAGATCTGAGCTTGAAATTCCTTTCTAACCAGAGTCCTGTTAGTCATGTATTCATCTTGTTACCATTCATTCACCCTCCATTCCTTGGCTCTCTCAATAAACATTTTTACTGGCACCTACACTGTGCTGAGAGCAGAGCCACAGAGAAAAGCAAGATGCCACCGCAGTCCAAAGCACTGTTTAGAGAGGAGACAGGCATGTAACAACTATTTAATGAAGAGTGGAAGATGCTGTGAAAATGAGACCCTAGGCATCCTGGACCGTATTTCAGTCTATTCCAGTCAACCAAAATGTGACTGCCACATGACCTTCATTAGAATTACCCAGGGAACTTGTGCACTAACCCTGGGGTCCATTCTTAAAATCCAAGCCAGAGTATTTGCTTCTGAGACCTTTGCAGGTAGGATCGGACACACAAAAATGGGAGAAACACTGCCCAGGACTTCAGCTTCATAGACTTTCTCAGGTTTTGCTCATTATCCCACCTTCAGTGATCAGGGCAGGGGTGACCCCAAAACAGGCACTCAAGCAACATTTGCTGAATGCCTACCATATGCTAGGCACTGTGTCTAGCAGCAAAGAAAACAATAACAAACAAAATACACTGCTCTCGTAGAACTAGGAGGAGGCAGATAATTAAATGAATAGGTAAAAAACATAATACATTAGATGATATAGGTTCTATGGGGGAAATAAAGCAGGGAAGGAGGTTAGGAAAGGCCAGGGTTTACAGTTTAGGTTTTTTAGTTCTTTTTTTGGTACATGCCCTCAGCGGGAACCGAACCAGGGACTCTCTGGTCCACAGGCCAACACTCCAACCGCTGAACCAAACCAGCCAGGGCGGGTTTACAGTTTTAACCAGGATGCTCAGGAAAGGCAAACATGAGGTAACATTTGAGTCAAGATCTGAAGGAGATGAGGGGGCAAGTCATGAGGATACTTGGGGGAAGGGCACTTCAGGTAGGGGGTACAGCTAGTGCACAACCTCCAAGCTGGAGCATGACTGGATGTTTGAGGAACTGCAAGAAGTTCAGTGTAGTTGGAGCAGAGTGGGCCAGCAGAAGAGGTGAAATCAAACAGGTAAGGAGATCATGCGGGGCTGGTAGGTTTTGAAAGACTTTGAGACTAGCACAAGCTGGAATACTGTGGGAGAGTGTGAGTGGAGGAGCAGTAGGGCTGCTTATAGTAGCACCCTGCTGCTGGGATGAGGACACTGTAAGGTCAGGGTCAAGGAGGGGCAGTACAGAGGCCACTGCTCTAACCGAGGCAAGAGTGGTGGTGCTGGCACCAGCTGGATAGCAGTAGAGGTGGGAGAAGAGGTCAGGACCTGGATGCGTGTTGAAGGTAGAGCCAATGGGACTTGCTGGAGGATTGGATATGGGGGGTGAGGGAAAGAAAAGAGTTAAGATACCTTCAGATTTTTAGCTTGTGCTAATGGGAAAATGGAGTGGCTTCAACTGAAATGTGGACAACTTTGCAAGGAGTCAGATGGGAGTGGAGAATGGGAAGATTGGGAATTCAGTTTTGGCCATGTCTGTTTTGAGATGTCTTTTTTTTTTTTTTATCCTCATCCGAGAACATTTTTCCATTTTTTGTTCAGATAGAGTGGGAGGAAGAGAGAGGGAAAGAGAGAGAGAGAGACACATCGATGTGAAAGGGACACATCGAGTGGCTGCCTCCCACATGACCCAACCGGGGCCGGGGACAAACTACAACTGAGGTACGTGCCCTTAGTGGGAACCAAACCTGGACTCTCTGGACCGCAGGCCAACACTCTAACCGCTGATCCAAACCAGCCAGGGCGAGATGTCTTTTATTGAGATAGATGTCTTTTAATCCTCACCGGAGGACATTTTTTCTTTGCATTTATCTTCAGATAGAGCGGGAGGGAGAGGGGGAGGAAGAAAGAGAGAGAAATATTGACATGAGAGAGACACATCGAGGGGCTGCCACCCATACTACCCCAACCGGGGCCGGAGACAAACTGCAACTGAGGTATGCGCCCTTAGTGGGAACCTAACCCGGACTCTCTGGACCAACGCGCTAACTGCTGAGCCAAACCGACCAGGGTGAGATAGATGTCTTTTAGATTGTCACATGGAGTGATCAGAGCCTGGAACTCAGGGGGAAGTCCAGGCAAGAGATAAATGTTTTCAGCACAGTAAGCATATGGATGGTATTTAAAGCTGGGTGAGGCTGGGTGAGGCATGGAGGGAATGTAGGTAGACTAGAGTGAATCTTCAGCCTGTATCCTATTCTTTTTTTTTAGTTTTTTATCCTCACCTGAGGACATTTTTGCATTCATCTTCAGATAGAGAGGGTGGGAGAGAGGGAGGAAGAGAGAGAGAAACATCGATGTGAGAGAGACACACCGAGTGGTTGCCACCCACACCATCCCAACTGGGCCCAGGGACAAACTGCAACCGAGGTACTTGCCCTTAGCGGGAACCGAACCCGGGACTCTCTGGTCCACGGGCTGACGCTGTAACTGCTGAGCCAAACCGGCCAGGGCCTGCATTCTATTCTTCAGTCAGAAAATCTGGTTGCTAGCACTCTGGGGACCAAAAGAGGGAGCTGAGGGTTGGAGGAGAGTGGCCAAGGTGGGGACATCTCAACTTACTCTTGAAGGAGGAGGAGGCAAGGAGATTTCGGGCAAGGGGACAGTATTTTCAGAGCCAGGAAGCATGAAGCAGCGGGGCAAGGTAGGAATGAGCCCTCCCCCCATCAGTGGGGTCCCCCTCCCTGCTTTGGTTTCTTTTCTTTCTTTACCCACGTTGAACTTCATGGGCAGCTGTTTCCGGGAACAGATGCCTGCCACTATGACACCTTATGCCCTGTCTTTTCTGCCACTCCCCACGCTCAGGTCCACCCACCCACCCCAGGCTGCTGGAATGTTCTGGACACCAGACAAGGCCTGGGAGGTGAGCCCAGTAGTCCCTTGGGAAGGTGACATCATCTAGGCCCCCTGAACAGCTGAGAAAGACCAAGTCCCTAGTCCTGCCCCACAGCAGTATCCCTGGAGTTTCGCCGTCACAGGCTCTGCCCTGCTCAGGTCTCCTAGGGTAGTAGACAAAGCTTGCTTTGGAGTCAGAACAGCCTGGGTTTAAACTCCCTCTCTGCTACCCTGGGGCTTTGTGACTTTTGGCAAGGTAAGGAAAGTTTCTGAGACTCGGTTTTCTTATTTCTACAGTGAGACTACCCATAGCAATCATTGTACCATCTTTTTCCACGGGGGTTCTGAGAATTAAGTGAGATGGGATGGCGGATAGCACCTGGCGTGGCCTGGTACAGGAAAGGAATCCCCTCCCATGTACGAAAGTACATCTCCCCACCCCTCCCTTCCTCCATTCCCAGCCAAACATCTGCCTCTATTGACCAGGCTGTCTATACCGCCTCATTAGCCACTCCCTCAGCTCCTCCGCAGGGGGCCCGGGGCCCTTCAACAGTGCCCTCCTCTCTGACCCGTGTGCCCAGGGACGCTGTCCCCTCCTCTCTCACAGGCCTTGCACCCCTCCCACTGCTTTCCTGGAATCCTCATCCTTTTCTTCCTCCCCTTCATCCCAAAACAGCCACTCCCCCAAATACTGTCCTTTGCCCTCCTGTCACTCTAGAGTCCTCAGCTGCTCCCAACTATTCATTTGTTCATTTGCTTAGCAGAGGCTCGGGGCCACTATATGCTGCGTGTTGTCATCTGAGCTGGAGAACAGGCTTGGTAGACAACCTGCCCAGGGGCAGGCGTGTCACAGCACAGCAGACGGTACTGTGTGATCAGCTGGCCCTGAGAGGCCCTTAATTTCCCAAAAAGAATCTGAATGTTCCCCACCCTCCTTTTCCTGCCACCTGGGGAGCTGAGCCTCCTTCAAGGCCAGACTACTCTGGGCCTCATCCCCTCAGGGTCCCTCCCAGTAGCCCTCCCTCCCTCCTCCAGCCTTCTCAACCCTGCTCCTCTCCAGCTCCAGCCTGCACTGGGTCTCCTTACTCAGAAACGTTTGTAGCCCAGCGGGTGTAGCTCAGTGGATTGAGCGACGTCCTATAGACTGAGAGGTCCCAGTTCGATTCCCGGTCAGGGCACATGCCCAGGTTGCGGACTCAATCCCCAGTAGGGGGCGTGCAGGAGGCGGCCAATCTATGTTACTCTCTCATATCCACGTTTCTATC